TGAAACGAGTGAAACAAAAGCTATAGAACACTTATAAACACTAAAAACTCATTAAAGGCTTTTCAGATCTAACAATCAACATTCTCAAGTTGCTGAAGCTTCACTTCATCGATTCCCGCCTATACATTTTTGAAAATGTCCCTTTTTATCAATAACAAAAAACATTTCGATTCACATACATTCTTTTGTAAAATTTTACGGTCGGTAACACATAAATATTGAGATGTGCCAGGCGTTCCGCGCGGGTGATGTCCGAAATTTCTGGCGATGCAGAGGTTTCTCATGGCTCGCTGCTTCGCAGCTCCTTGTCGACGCTTCGCGGCAATTTTACAGAGGAAAAAAAAAACTCGAGAAACCTCTGGGACCAGGGTAAACATTTTTGGAAAATTTTGTCAAACATCAAAACTTTCAAATTTCATGATATGTAACAGAGCATTACTTACTCGGTTCCATGTAGACTGTCGGCAAGCGATAAACTTGACGCGATTGAAAGAGAATCAGGATCACAGTATTCCTTNTCGTCCAGGCAGATGACATCGTCATCCTGGTCTTCAACCTCATTTTTACTGTAAGATTAAAACAATAATAAATGGTATAAGGAAAAAGTTTTGAATCTTATGTTTAGTAAGTTTCTTTGAAACCTGAAAGTTTTAAAAGGCGTTTACTCATCATAACGGGCGATCTTTGGGGAGTAACTATGATCATGACTTAATGGTGACAACTAGTTTATGGGAAGCAGGGGTGGTTTAGCGGTGTGACCGCTCGCCTCTCAATGCGATCCGAGTTCGAGTCCAGCCGGGTTCGATGTTGTATATGAGTAGAGTCGTTTGTTGGTTCTCTCCTGTGCTTCGAGGGTTTTCCGGGTTCTCCAGTTTTCCTCCCTCCACAAAAATCAACTCCTAAATTCCAATTCGATCAAGGAATGAGGGACACAGGTTTGTTAGAGTTGGTGAGTGTGTGTAGCCATTTATACGAGTTTCTCCCTTTGACTACCGATAAAATACAATAAAAAATACAATAAATATCTACAAGGCCTAGGCAACTAATCAGTAACACAACGGGCGTCACATCAATATTACAGAGCATTTGGTCTTTAACTTTGTTCCAAACAACTAAAAAATCTATATGTTAAGTGTATGCTACATCTAGTGTATAAGCAGATTAAAAAATCGTTTGCTTTAACACAACGGGCGTCACATCAATATCACGACATGTTGACAGAAATTTGACAGAGCATTTGGTCTTTAACTTGTAACCTTGTAACTCTGTAACGCTATTTCCAGGCACCCAAAGAAAACAATGGAATCTGGTCTACTAAAGTGTATTAGTGTAATATCTATTACATGGGTTTAATGACTTCACTCTAATTTTTCAAATGAATGGATACAATTTTCTTGTTGAATTTATGTTAAAATATTTTGTTTTTTACTTTGTTTTGGTTTTCAAAATCGCTACTAGCAAGCTATCACATATAGACCACTAGAAGTTCAGCCAATCAAAGCGAAGCATTTAAGATAGACCATTTGTAGGTTTATACTAAATGATATTAGACTAATATCTGTATCACGGGATAAAGTAAATTATTATCTTCGAACGAAAGAAAAGCTTCCAACCATCCTTAGTATTGCCCACTCTACCTTTATCTAAATGACCTCAGATTTTCTAAATGCCACGGGAAAGCCTAGTATAGCTCAGAAGGGGCCTTTAGTTTGTTCTAGTTGCATCCAGACATTTATAAAAATAGAAGGTATAATGCCAAGCATTCCTAACCCAGCTAGTGTTCACCTTTCGCCTATTTTCATCAGGCAGGAAGTAATTCACCAATACACTCAACTAAAACCAATTATTTATCAGACTCCACCCGTAGGTCATTCAGGCTGTTCATAATTGATAAAAGATCTCGAGAGAAAAAGGAATTCCAAAAAAGTGTATACAAACAAATAGTTTTGGTAAAATTCTGTCGTTTATTGGTACTTTCTTTTAAGACGTGCAGCAGTTGACCTGTTTCCTTGACTCACTATGGGGTGTCATTAGTGTACTTCTTTACTTTAAGGTTTCCATTACTTTTATATTTTTCTCCATTTGTTTCATCCTGGTTGAGTGTTAAATTGTTCTCTCGAATKTATTCTTACGGTGCAACTTGCTGTTTTAAGATAGATCTAGTCCATTGTCATAGCAAGAAATAGGAGTGTTTTTACTTGCCTCTTTGAGCAAAAATTGCTTGTTGATGTGTAATAATCAGTGATAAAAAAAAAGAGAGAAATAGAAATATGATTTAATAGCCTGTATTACTCTGCAAACTATTTCAAGGGTTAAGTTCAAGAGGTAATCTAAAGCGCTCGTGCATGTAGGCATAAAAAGAGGTCATACTGATGTTACCTTATTTTTATCTTCATTTTTATGGTTAACATAACCTGCTTTCGTTTTCTTTTTTCTTTTTGTTTGTTGTTTTTTATTGTTTTTTTATTAATGTGCAGAATGGTATTGTTTCTCGCAGTCTTTTTCGCCTGTTTTTATTTTCTCAACAGCATAGCTACCGTAAACGTAGTTTGTATTCTATCTTTTATTGGTGTTGCAAATTGTTCAGTAGGGATCTGATCCATCACCAGAACAAGAAAAAACATGTTAAAACACACATAGAAAACTTAATCACAAGTTCGTTATTTCATCCCATATCATGTTCATGAGAGATGATTTAAATAGAGAAGACTTCTGTGAAAAAGTCAGTTTTGTTGCAGTGGCGTCCGGTTACAAGTGGGACATGGATTTGATCTTCAAGTGCACCCTCTGTTTCCTTATCTTTATTGTCATCACACCTTGTCTCTTCCAAAA